TTTTATGTGAGATGTACGTACGTCTCTGTCGAATGAATCCAAATGACCATGCAATTAGAGTTTAGAGGGGGTATCACTAGAATTGTGTCTGAAGTGAGCAGGAATAATTGCTTTCAAATCTGCTTTATCGATGTTGTTGTCTATATTTGAACATCTACAGCTGAGTGATGACTCAATGCTTGGCCAAGAGCGTTTAAAACCATCTCAGCCATTGGGTCAGTGCTGGTCAGCGCCTGCAAATATCATAGTTCGTCAACGAGCGCAAGTAACTGGTGGCAACGAGACTGGAAATGTGGACTGTCCAAGTCCCGAATCACCGCTGAATTATTGTTGGTCTGCGCCCGAGTTCCTGGACGATACAGACGAAGAGGTAAAACATTTGAGGTCTAGGAAAACAAATCTTTAAATGAACTTGCTCCCGTACAATTAATGGCGAATTTCGTGCCTCTTCTAACGTTTCTAACTGGTACTATATTGGGCTCTTCGACGGCTGGCCATGAGGTCTTCCAGTGGATCTAATTGCTGAATTATAGGACGCCGATGTCGATCGTGTTCATGGTGAAATGAAGGCTACCCTCAAGGGACTGTTCAAAAGATCTGCCTCCTATGAGTTCTTGAAGTAAGCCTTCACATATTCGTGAATTATTTCTGCGGCTGTGATTGATAATCCGGCAATTTTCCTCATAGCAATGTGTCCCACTGTTCTTCGTCGTTAAAAATCATCACTTAAACAGTCCATGTCTGGAGACCTTTTCGGTATCATTGCTTTAAGTCGCTTGATTTCTCGTTCCATTACTTAGTAGATTGATATTCGAGCATCAATCTAGTGCCTATCTTCAGAACGTTGTATTCCGATTATGATGAGCCAAAACGACCGAATTTCTTGGATCTCGGCAATGAACTACCAAATGAAGCGGCTCTAAATGCTGTAAACTTCCAAGCAAACGCAGAAGATGAAGATGATCAACCGCCTGTGAATCATTTGGTGCCGTTGGCTACAAATGACAAATTTGGATCACTAGAACTTTATGGGGCAACTCCATCACCCCAACGGTGAGGACACTGCCATGATTTGGCAACACTTCATATGGTCCAATGACTCGAAAAAGCACCAGTATTGTTTGGAGCTTTCATTAGGAAATTATGAAACAAATTGGTTGCTATCAGCTCAATTTACGATTAATATCGCGGTAGTATCCTTAAATAAATGAAAAATCCAGAATGAAACCTGTGAGGATCTACTGCTGTCTTTCCAAAAAGACCCGATTACCTTGTAGGTGCTCTAAGAACTGATATGACGACTGATTAACAGCTCAGTAGCCATGGACTCAAATGAACTCAAAGGTAGAATAGCCGATAATTTCACATATTCTATCTTCAGTGAAGACGACCGTGTTTTCCATGTGAATGATGAGTCGGATGAAGATGAAGACAAGGAATCTCTTAATCCCATAGATTCACCGGCAGGACAGAGGATTGGAAGCGAATCACCGATTGAATTCATTGATTCGGGCGATGAATCCGGTTTGGTTGCGGCCAATGAAACGACGACCGTGACTCAAGCAAGCCACAGAGCACGATCATGCGATACCAGCGAGGCAATAGATGAACGCAGCTTTGATGAGGGAGAGTATAAGCTGAACGATGTTTGGACGTCACATTCTACTGGACATTTGGATGAGAGAAACGGACGGAGAATTTGGTA